AACTAAAATTTAGCGAAAAACACGTCCACGTACCTTTGTTGGCTGGTTTTTTTGCAACACATTTATCATTTCCAACAAGACCGATTCATAAAGTCACATTTTGTACTCCAATAAATGATGATCCAAGTAAGTTCGAAACGGCTGAGTTATGTATGAAAAGTACAAAGGAGGCATTTATTGATTCGAAATTTCAAGAAGAAGCTGTCATTGTAGTTGATGAAAAAATCTATCGAAATTGTGTACAAGTAATTCGATTGAGAGGTATATCCAGTTTTTCTTTTGTTTAAGTTAAATATGAACACGCAACAGATTTTGAGAGGATACTAATATATCCAGGGAAATTTCATCTTATGAAATGTTATATGTCTGTTATATGGGACGTTTTGGATCAATCTGGCATCGATGATCTGTTAGGTTATGTGTATAAGGGTGCAACATTAAGAGCCATATTAAACGTATCGCATTTTAACAAATCTTTGCGAGCTGTGAAAATGATCTACACATCCTAACAATATTAGTAATAACAGAATTTTTACACACATTGCCAACATCCATCATTAATGACCTTGAAAAAATTATGTATGAAATACCAGTTGATTACACAGAAAATAGAAGAAAACAACAATGGTTCGAGAATGTGATTAACTGGCTTGATTCAGTAAAACTTAACAACTTGTTTGATTATTGGAAAAAGGAACAATGTCGTAAAAATATTAAATTTCATTTTTGGCATTGTATTTTATATGGATTAATCGAGCCATTAATTAAATATGTATATGGCACTCAGAATACAAAATTTTGAAGCGAGAAATGCTGCATTTAGTGCCATGGCTCCTATGTTTTTCTCAACGAACCATCGAAATTACGCACGATTGTCAGCACAACACTTGTCCGATCTACGAATTATTTCCGAATATTTATTTGAAAGATTGAAGAAATGTTTTGCAGTTACAAGAACAGCAAGGCCGTTTTCCGCGATTGCTATGGATCAGACAATTGAATGCACAATAAACAAGATGGGAAAAGGTCATGGTGGTCTCTCTGGAAGATTTAGTCCACAACTGATAGACATCTGGAGCAAATCATTTGCTTTTCGATCATTATTGACTTCAATAGCAAGTGAGTTAGCTGGCTATGAAACAAGTAGTAACAGTATTGATTCGTATGTCGAATGCAGCCCGACGAGAGCACAATCAGATGAAGAAGATTTGTCTTTAATCTTATCAAAATTAAAATATGAAAAATTATATACAAGTGAAAATGATCATGTAACACAATTATTTACTGGAAAATTAATTCATAATGATATCATTAATGGTATTCTTGGATCTAAAACACGTGGTTTAGAAGCATTACAAAATTATATTAGTGTACGTTTAGTGAACAAAACAGTACTGATTTCAGAACCATTAAAAGCCATGCCACTTTTACGATTAAGTGATAATGATGATTACGATCCAGGTATGTTATTTGTTTATATCTGATCATGTTTGTCTTATATTTCTACAATTTAGCCACCAGAAAAATTCGAAAAACGCGAAAAAGCAATATTAACAATCTGAAAAATATTGATGAAAAAATTAGAAGGACGCTATTATTGAGCGAATATCGTCCGTTAAATCTACTAGAATTATTCGGACATGAGTTTTCTGAAACACCGCTTTCTTTGTGTGATGCCGAAAATCCAAATTTAATGAATCAGCAAAATATGTCAATAGCAGTGCATTATTTACAAGAAAAATTTCCAACAAGTTTTAGCGAGCACCATCCGACCAAATTTATATCTTCAGTGACAACGACAAATTACACCAGTAGATGATTGGTCATTGATTATAGATGGTGCAAGTATGTTACATATCCGTCCGTTACGTAATAGTACAGTGTATGATTTTGCTGTACAACTAATGCGTAGAAAAATTCTCGATCAGTTTATGTATTTTAAACGTATAGATGTTGTCTTCGATTCTGGTCTTAGTAATGAAGTCAAATCTTTTATCAAGCTTCATGGTGACAATAAGAATAGAGTTACATACGAATTTTCGCGAGATGTCAAATTACCAACTGGAAAAACGTACGATGACTTATTGCGAGGAAATCGTGCACATTTAACAGCTGTCATTGTGCAATGCTGGTGTGAGCCAGATGTAGTAGAATGTTTACCAGAAGGTAAACTTCTGGTAGTTGGTGGAACTGGCGAAGATGCATTTATGTTAGAGAAAATGTTGCCACCATCAAGTATATATGAATTGAATAGTAATCACATTGAAGCTGATACTCGTATGCTATTACACGTGCAACGTGTTATCGATACAAAATGTAAAAATATTGTAGTAAAATCAATTGATACAGATGTTGTGTATTTACGCATTTATTATGCTAGTTTTATCGATGTTAAAATTCTATGCGTTGATTGCACGATGCCGCAGAAAGATAAACAAAAGTTCATCGATTGCACAAATATTAGTCATGAATTAGTAAAAGATTATCGTATGAATCCGGAAATTTTATTACCTGTATATGCTTTATCAAGGTGTGATACGTGTTCATATATAAGAAATATTAGTAAATTAACATTGTTAAACACATTTTTTAAACACTATGATCAGTATGTAGAACTTGAAAAATTAAAAAACTTTCCTACAGCGATCGAGGATATACAAGCAGTAGAAGAATTAATATGCAATTGTTTTTCTCATGATACTCGTTCTTCAAAATCGTCATCCAATGTAAGAATTCAACAGCAAGTGGTATCAATCGATGCATTACGAGCAGTTATGGCTATGAATGCATTAAAGCAAAATAAAAAAAATATCGCATCAACCTTACCACCTACAAGTGATGCATTACTGTACCATTCTTTACGAGTGAGTCGTCAAATTCAAATTTGGCAGCATGCATTAGATGCCCATATTAAATATCCGGAGTTAATCCACAGTGGTTATGAAATGGTCGACAACTGCTTAAAAACAAAATGGACAACAAAACGCCTCTTCCCACGGATCGTTCGTTACAAACATGTGGTAAATGTAAGAGTGATTGCAGAAGATGTCATTGTGGGAAGAATGGACTGTCATGCACGATTTATTGCCAGTGTTCATCTAGTCCATGTACGAACAGATATTCAATCCAGCACAGAAAAAGTGACGTTGCCAGTTCATCTGTATGTACCAAATGATTAACCCTTTTCGGCCGGCTATTTATAAAACACAGCAAAAAATGTTACCATACGACAAAATCCGGCTGGAAAGGGTTAAGAAATTGTACTGATGTGACTAATTATCTTTATTTTAGACCAAAAATGTGTTCAGTCAAATGTCAGTCAATTCATCTCATACGATTGATCATGATTACTGTACTATTTATGGCCAAGCAGACTCTGATATTGAAAGTGACGATGGGATTAAACAGTATGAAGAAAACGTTGAAGACGACGAAAATGATGACGGTGATACTCTATTAGATGATGTAAGTACTAAATAGTATAATTAAAAATCTATAACGAAAATTCTGTAAGAATATATCTTTAATTCTAGAATTTTTCTCGTGAGGAAAGCGATGTCGAGGAAGAAGAAGATTTTGAGCATGATTTCTCAGTCAATTCTGTCGAACAAGAACTTCAAAAGAATTTATCTACCAATTTTCCTCCTGCGGCTACTAAACGATCAAACACTTTTGTGTCTTCACAAACACCTCCAGGTTTAAAACGGGTAAAACTGTCATTGAATGAATCACTAAACATGTCAAATGTGAGTAGTTTTATGAACGATCAGACTTGTTTTGTTATACTATCATTTGCTTTGACCATTTTTGCTTGCATTTCAGTGCCAAAGAGAATTATCGAGTAATCACTCGCGATATCTGGCAGCGCAACCACATAGACGTTATGCAACTTTTAATGCACTTGATGATGATTTAGATGAATGATTTATCGATTAAATCTGACACAGGCAACTCAAGTAGAATGTGACCAGAAGAATATCTTCTGGTAGTATGTAACATCATCCTGAGTCTCTGCTAAGAACGACATTACCTAGGATGAATGATGAGTAATAACACTAACGCCGAAATATGCGTATAGAAAATGCTAAATGTTTCTTTGAATTTTAGCCATGCAACGAACCGGTGCTTTTTCTGGCTTTAAG